TTGTGGGGATGTTGTATTTGTATTCGATTGGTGATTGTTTGTTGATTTATTCTTTCACTCTCTCCAACTGTCTCCTTTCCTGTTGCCTGCATGAATCTGCTCTGCCAGACCACCTTCTGTTGCCAGAGGTTCTTACAAGATAGATGGTCATGCTGCATCTGACCTTCCGTTCACATGCCAATCTCTCTATCTCGCTGTTTCTGCTCAGTTTCTCCTCCCAGCGAACGCTCAATTTACTTGTCTAACCTTTCCTCTGAAGTTCAGGGTGCCCAAATTTTCATCTGTGACTGTTTCATTTGGTGTCTTATATCTTTGTTGTAGAGGGTCCATGTAATGCATTGCCTAGTTTGCCATCTTGCCAGAAGTTGGCCAGCGAGATGGTATTAAGTAATCTAGTATAAAGTAGAAAATAGAAACTTGGATGTGCTATTAAACATGAAAGTCTTTAGTCTGCCTTTTGGTGTTATTAACAGATAAATATGTCTAGATAAAGGAAATCAAAAGCTATCTTAGTTTGTTGGCCAAAATAAGTATAACGTTCTAAGAGGTTTAGAGTATATTTCTTTTGTTTACTCTGTACTGATAATAATACAGCAGCACCAATAACATCAAAAAACTCCTTTTTAAATGTTTAAATAACTTTATTCTCAAGCATAGAATTATTTTTACAAGGTAATTTATAAACAAATGTAGCAAATGATAAACAGCAAAATGGATTACCAAAGATATTTTATTGGTTTAGATTTTTTATTTATGATGTATATTTTCTTAATCAAGTTTTGAATATGCCTAGATAAGCAATAAATTCCTAAATTCCTTTTAAATATAAAATTTAAATAAATATTATTTCATGTACATTTGCTAGCAATGTTAGCATAATAACTTTTCAAAAATTTTAGTTTTCCTGTAGTGAAAGTTTTCTAAATTTATTACTTAAATGATTTGTTTATATTTTATTCAAGTGACTAAAAATTATTCCACCATAATGTCTGGAATGAGACATTATGGTGGAATAATAAGGAGGTTTAATAAGGCGGCAGGCCATTTGAAATAAACTTTCCTTCCCTTCAGTTTCCCTTTTTATTTTCCTTTAATAGCTTTTCTATAAACCTAAACTCTAAGATATCCTTTTTTTCAATGAAAAATAAATATAAAGATGATCAATTAGTTAGGGTACAGTCTAATCTGGTATAACGAAGTATATCCTAAATTCTTCACTTCAAACATGATAAAATTGTATTCATCTCTTAGTGAACAGTCAAGAGATAGACCCAGATAGTCAAGAGTAGGTCAGTGGCTCTGTGTTTTTCCATACAGGAGCCACTACACATGAGATTGTTTATATTTAAAGTAACTTAAATAACATGTAATGAAAATTCAGTGTCCATATTAGTTAAGTGGTTAGTAGCCACATGTGGCTGGTGGCTGCTATATGGAGACCATGAAGGGCTAGAGCACCTTTTTCATCAGAAGTTTCTGTTGGCCATCGCTGCACTAGTGTGCTGTTTTTTTCTGCATGGTCTTTGTTGGCTCATACTAGCCTGTCTGCATTCCAGTCCAAAAGAAGAGACCAAAAAAGAGAAATAGTAAGAGTTGAAGGCAAATAGGTTTTATTTATTTGTTTTTTTCGTATTTGTTACAAATGATTCACAAGATCCACATATCACTTCTACTTTCATCCTATTGACAAATTTAGTAAAATGAGGACACGTCATTGTGTGGGCTGCTGAGTGGAGTTGTACTTTACTAAAACTTGGTTTCAGACTCCCAATGAGATGGATTGGCCAAACAGCAGCATCGATGGACTCAAGTGTGGCAGCAATAGTGAGGTTGGCCCAGGATTTGGCAGTGTTTTGTTCTGCTGTGCATAAGGTCATTATGGGTTGGTACTGACTTGATGGCACCTAACAACAACAACAAGAAGATAGGATGAGGGATTCTATAACCACAAGGAGAAAGGTGATGATGGATAGATACTAGAGGACAGCTGGCAGTCTCGGTCGCATGTGCTTCAATTGTTGATGATAACATTAAGATTTCTTTCCATCCTCCAAAGTAGTAAGTAATCATAGGCAAAATGTTCCTTATTGAGATTAGAATGAAATAATAAACATTCTTATGGTATTATTTTAATTACTTAGTAAAGTGTTTCAAAATTTAGTTATTTTGACCGAGAGGCCAAAGTATGTCACTGCTTTTCTTTAATATATTGGTTCTATGCCCTAAACTTTGTGGGATGATAATAATCTTATGTTTGTGTAATGATGAACAGAAGACTAGAGCTAATGTTTACAAGGGTTATTCAAAAAGTTTGTAGACGAGTGGAATTAAAAGATAATGGAATTTCCCCACATGCTTTTTGAAGCCTCCTGGTAAATCCATTTTATTTCATACATGTTAAGTAATAATTTTGAACATTTTTTATTATGGGCAGACATGTGAAGTATGAAAAATACTAGTTGGTGATTTGGTTGTTCCTCTCTTCTCCCTTTTACCCGTTCTCTCTATTCTTTGCTTTCTCCATGTATACTATGAACAGACTTAATAACTGTTTAGGGCTTAGGATGAAAAGCAATCGTTTTCCACACCATTTCCTATTCCCAGGACTATTCTTTGAAAAAATCACATTGAAGTGTTACACAACTTCTACATTTCTAAATATTATTTCTGCACCCTAGTGAGGATGGTCCAGGATCAGGCAGTGTTTCGTTCTGCTGTGCATTAGGTCACTATGAGTCGGTGCTAACTTGATGGCACCTAACAACAACAACCAGTCTTTCTTGATTTATCACTCTTAGGAATTTTACACCTTTTAACTACTATAATAAGAAAGGGTTTAGCACATTTTCATCACTTTCTCTGTCCATTATTTTTATTGATTTTTTAGATAATATTTTAAAATCTTTTCTTTGTCCATTCAATGAAAGATGGTATCCCTTGATTCTCAAATTAGCAATTACAGGTATTTCATGTTCCAAGTCATCCTTCTCAGGTTGCCCTTGTGGTGTAGTTGGTTATACGTGGGGCTGCTAACCGCAAAGTTGTTGTTGTTGGTAAGTGCTATCAAGTTGGTTCCGACTCATAGTGATCCTGTATAGGGTTTCTGAGGAGCGGCTGGTGAGTTTGAACTGCTGATCTTGTGGTTCAAACCAACTTTATTGTTGAGCGCATATCCTACATCAGTACACCAATTTGAATCTATGGGAGAAAGTTGAGACTTTCTGCTTGTATAAGCATTTGTTGTTGTTAAGTGCTGTCGAGTCAGTTCCCACTCATAGTGGCCCTGTTTAGGGTTTCCAAGGAACGACTGGTGATCTTGAACCACTAACCTTGTGGTTCAGACTGACTTTGCAGTCCTGGACTCCATATAAAGATTTGCATCCTTGGAAATCCTCTATGAATTGGAATCAGCTCAATGACACACCACCACCACCACCACCACCACACCATTTCCCTCCTCATATCTTTGCCCATTCTCTGTTTCAATTTTTGTCATCTCTTTCTTTTAGCTGTAATAGTTAAATATGTTTACATTTGTTTTTGGAATTGTGATTGTTTTTTGTGGTTTGTGTATTGCTTTTGTGTATTGTTTTTTGTGGTTTGTGTATTGCTTTTGTGGTTTGTGTACATTTTTTAAATGACTGTCCAAATATTCACTGGGAACTCAATGTCACAGTAATTGCATATATTCATATATGTGAGTCATATTGATAATACATATGTTAAAGAAGAATGCTCTGATTTTTTTTGGATGAAGTATTTACACATATCTCTAAAAGTATAAAGATTAAAACTGTAGACAAGCATTGATATCTTTATGTGAATAACCATGTATGATAAAATGTTTACCTATTAATACTTATGGTTTGTTTTTACTTTTATTCTGTTATTAAAGATATATATCCTTTTCAGAGTTAGGTCTATTTTTTTCTTCACTACAAATTATTCTACAACTTCATTGTCCAGAATTTATTGAAATTGACCTATTTTTACCATTATACCTGGCCAATGACCAAACTGGTAGATAGTGATGGTTTAAAAAAAAAAAAAAAATTTTTTTTCTAGGTTAGAAAGCTAATGCTAGTTCTGAATGCTGATGGGCTCCACCACCAGTCTGGGCGATATGTTGTGTAATACCTTTAAACTACTGTTTATCTTTATAGGAGAATGGTATTGTAGAAATGTCAAAATTGTCCATATGCCCAGTTCACTGGTAAATATACTGCTAAATTTGAACCTTTTTTGTCAGTAGCCTATGCTACTCAAGAGACCATATATTTTCTGAATTATATATTTCAAAGGATATTGGTTTCCCTTGCAGAAAATCCATGCCCTTAGAACAACTTTAAGCCAAAACACCTATTCTTATGCTGTATGTTTAAAATATTAGTCGTCTCGAGAACATGCCCAGGTTAAGTAAGTGTCAGAGGCGATATATTGTGCAAAAAGAAAATTTATTGCTAGGAGACCAGTTGTACGTGCGCTTATACAGCATTTTCCTAAGACGATCAATTTGAGTATATGAACTAATATCAGCCCGCTTTGTGTACAGTAACGGTATTGATAATAAAGGAGAAGTTCATTGAAGAGAAAGACAAATAAAGGAAGCATAAAAATCTCATACTGTATGAAACTACAGAAATGGATGAAAGAGTTTGACAGGAAGTTTAATGTGTACATAAGTAGAGGCTGACAGGAACATGCTGTGTGTGCCAAAGGTTCTAGTGATGGAAAACCGAAACACAGTGCTCACTGACCACAGCATGAGCCTTAACACACATTGTAAATAATCCTGAGATCTATGACTGCATTAAGCACCAGGCTGGCATAGTAACAGCAGTAAATCTATAGCAGCAGAAATGGCTGGCATGCAGAAATTCCTCTGATTAATTTTTGTAATGGATTAATAGAAATATAGCAAATATTTTCATTTCAAGACCTATCATCCACCAACCCTAATGTGATTTTTTTTTTTTTTTTAAACTTGTTCCACTCTCTAGACTTGTGTATATGGATACTTACTTCAGCACCTTCAAGTTAAAAGCCAAAGATGCTTCTGGTAGAGAGCATCTAATCACTCTCAAGTTGAAGGCGAAGGTACGTGCTTCCTTAAACTGTTATTATGCTTAGGATATACACTATGTGGTGAACTCTAACATTTTCAGTGCAAAGAAATGCTGGTTACTTTAAAAAATACATATCTGAAGCTTTTTTAAAAAATTGATTTTGAAAAATCTCAAAGAATTTGTTCATCAGGTTTTCAAATGCGTATGTGAAATTTTATGTTATTATTTTAGTCTAAATGTGGTCAAAGTGTAGACTTTGTAGTAAAGGGATATTACAAGTAAGATTTGGCAGCCTCAAAGTAACAATGTGACTTTTGTAATATCTTGCTGTGGCACTGTGGGATAAGCACTGGACCATAAGGTCAGTTGGAACCACAAGGCTGATGGTTCAAACCCACCAGCCGCTCCTTGGAAACCCTATGCAGGGTTGCTATGAGTTAAAACCGAATTGATGGTACTTAACAACAACAACAACAACGCATAAAAAAAAGCTGGAAGCTTCCCCTGTCCCAAGTGAAGTTCTTCTTCAACACATACTGTGAAAATTACCTTTGTAGTACTTATTTCCAACCACTGCCTCCCACTTTTCCACTTGTCCTCCCGCTCCACACACACACATACACACAGGCATTGCTTTTTGTTATTTGATTGTCTTGGCTGAAGCTTTTTTGAAAATCAAGCTTCTATTTATAGAGTCCTTATACGCTAGTGATCTATAGCTACTCACTAATTTCGCTGGCACAAACTATGACTTTTCATCTTTATTTTTCAGCTCTAAATTTTGAATTTAGTGTAATAAGTAGAATAAGCAAGTTGAGCATATTAATCATTTACTTTGTAATCACAGGGGAAACATTAGAAGTTGAAGAAAACCAGGACATCCAACTTTTTTATTGTTCCTAGGCCTCATCAATCAGCTCTATTTCAGAAGATTGTAGTGATGAAAAGATCAATTGTGTTTGTCCTTTTTAAAAATGTGTCTGGCATTTAAGCTTTCCGCAAGAGAAAATTAATATATAAAGCTGTACTGGGTGACACAGAAAAGTTGATATTTTATAGTGCCTCTATATCAGACAAGTTGAGAAATGACTCATTCTCTCTTTCTCACACACAGAATGTTTAGTATAATTTTAAGAGCCATATGTGGTAAGTGTTAAAAAAAAAATTGGTAGGATAGAATCTAATTTGTAAAATTAGTTGCATAGCTGTATTTTCATTCTAATGAAAATGTTGTTATTTTCTTTTTTCGTTTTTAAAGATGTACTTTTTTTTAGATCTAGGAGAAATCCTCCCCAAAGGTCATATTCTGCCAGTGGCAAGGTCTCTGTAGTTTCCTGAAGAAGGCTGTGAAAAGCTACTTGTTTTTTATTTTGTACATTGAGAAAAGTTGCTTTGTTGCTATAAAATGCAAAATGAAAGATGTAAATACATGTCAATCCTGGGTTTTTTCTTTTTTTTTAAATAGCCTCTTTAAAAAAAAAATTTTTTTTTTTTAAACAATCTCTTCTTATAAAGGAGATAGTGCTTTGTGTCCACACTATCTTAAATACATTGCCAGGATTTTAGTACTAGTCTGGATTAATGATTTTTACGTTCTGAGCTGGTAGTATTGAATGGAAGAATATAGCTACAAGCATAGATAGTCCCTTCTGTCTACCTTTCCTTATAGTTTCTCCAGCTAGATACAGAGATACACTCTTAACACATGTCTGGGGAATATTTTCAACATTGAGGTTTTGCAGCATCTAATGCTATGAAACACTATTATGGAGGCCCTGGCAGGAGAGACATGAAAGCTCTATTTGAGTTATAAAGGAATTAGTTTGGAGTTTAGGGAGGGGGTAGGAGGGGAAGCTGTTTGAAAAAGAAATGGAAAAGGTAGTGTGAAACTGAATGGATCTTATGTAGGTATGCAGGACGATTTGTTAGAACCTTTAATTCTCCATTTAGTTTAGCTTTTATAGATGCCAGAGTTGTTTTTGAGGTATCATCTTCTTTTTCCCAGAAATATTTGGGCCTGAGATTGTTGGTGAAAAACAGTGACAGCTGAAATTCATGTTTAGAGTATATAATACAAATTTTCATCCAAACTGAATTTTAAGAGGAAAGCAAAATTTTAAAGCAAACCCTTAAAAGGACTTCTATAAACACACAGACCTTTATTTTATTTATTTATTTTGGTGAATTGTTTTATTTATTTATTTTGGTGAATAGTTTAAAATATGTGTTTGTTTTATTTTTCTGGAAAATACATACTCTCCAATTTTATCACTACTGTTCACCTTCTCCAAAAACCCACAAAGAAAACCATGTGAATTCAGACTAGACACTATTAAAAATAAATATGCAAATCAAAAAGAAACATGAGAATTTGTTTGTTCAGAGCTCTACTTTTATGCAATACTTAGCTGATTAGAAAACATCTTGAACTGTGGGATGGAATTATTATATTTTCTTTATAAAAGAAATGTCTGTGAACTTCCTCAGGTTTAGCCAGGAGCACCGCTTACCTCAAAAACAAATCCTAGATGTATCTGAAGTCAGACACTTTCTCTGACGGCTATTTTTGTAATCTGTTTCAAAAGATTGTGGACTCATGCACTGCATAACGTCTGTGTGCACAACTTCTGACCACATAATTGTCTGGTCGCATAAGGTTATAACGTTGCTGTCAAGAGCCATTGGTCAGTTCTGGCTCATAGTGACTCTGTACTGGGTTTCTGAGGCTATAAATCTTTTTGGGAGCAGAAAGCCTTATCTTTCTTCTACGAAATGACTGGTGGGCTTGAACCACCAACCAGGTGGTTCACAGTCCAGTGCTTATCCAACAGAGCCACTGTCCTCCCAAGGTTCTAATAGAGTTCAGAAATATACTAATCAGTGAATGAGACTTAGTGGATGCAAAGCTTCTGACATGCTGCATGTGCATCTAATGTCTGTTATATACAGAGCAGTTGCACTGCCAGGCAGATACTGATATTTTACTTAATGATCTCTAATACTTAGATCTTGATAGTAATAATAAACACCTATGCTGCTGCTTATATATGCACTGTACTGTACTTTTGATCTGAAAAGTTTAGCATATAGTGATGTATGCTTTGACTCCTGTGTAGCACATGTCTCTTGTAGCTTTATCTCTTTGTTCAATCTTCTTTCAAAAATAGTGGTGTGAAGTGCATCATGGCTCCCAAATGCAGCAAAACCAATACTAGTGATAGTGGTAGCAAAACACAAAGAAGTATCAATTTGGAAGTGAAACAAAAGGTTATTAAACAACATGTAGGTGGAAAATGATCCTCAAAAACAAAGAAAAAATCCTCCAAGTGTTACAGCATTGACTTCACTGAAAAGTATATGGCTAACGAAAATGCTAGAGGGGCCTATGTCAGATGTAGAGAAATTACTAAGGATATGGATTGAGGACCGGAAATAAAAGTGAATCCCGCTCAGCACAAAGCTTGGTAGAGAAACTTAAAGAAAAAGTAGGACCATGCTATGATATATTTCCAAAATGTCCAAATCACATCACATCCTATTTCACAGAATGTATTGTGAACGTTAAGTGATGTCTGACTGTATTAATGTTGGGTAGAAGCCTCACTGCTTAGATAGTCCAGTCATATCCAAAAACCCAAACTCATTGACATCCAGTGCATTCCGAGGCATAGCGACTCTGTATAGGGTTTCTGAGACTGTAAATCTTCACTAGAGCATAAAGCCTCTTCTTTCTCCCACAGATCTACTGGCGGGTATGAACTAATGACCTTGCAGTTGCAGTTAACAGTCCAGTGCTTTTCATAGAGTGCCACAATGGCTCGTTAATCACGCAATGTTGTTAGGTGCTGCTGAGTCAATCCCAACTCATAGCGACCCTGTATAGGTTTCTAAGGAGCAGCTGGTGGGTTTGAACCACCAACCTTGTGGCTAGTAGTCAAGTGCCTAATCATGTAGTACTATATCAGGACTCCTGATCACACAATGCTGTTGTTGTTGTTGTTGTTGTTGTTAAATGCCAGCAATTCAGTTCTGACCCATAACGACCCTGTATAGGGTTTTCAAGGAGTAACTGGGGAGCTTGAACTACCAACCTTGTGGTTCAAACTGAGTTTGCAGTCCAGTGCATTAACCCACAGCACCACACAATCACACAATAGGATAGGCTAAACTTGTCCTTAGAATAAAATGCTGTACAATATAAAGGGCTCTGTGTGTGACAAAAACGGATACCTTATAATATTTAATAATCACATTCATTTACAGTTACTGAATTGATTAAATTTGTTCAAGTAAGATTTGGAGAAGTATCTTGTAATTTAAAATACTGTGGTGCTGTAGGATAAGCACTGGACTGCTAATGCAAAGTAGGTGTTCAAACATGCTGGCTGCTTCTTGAAAACTCTACATAGGGTCGCTGTGAGTCAGAACCATCTCCATGGCACATAACAACTACAACAACATGTTTAAGATTAATATTCCTATATATGGAGGTTTCGTTATTGCTATCAGATTTCTAAAGTAAAAATTTTGGCAGATAATCTTTAGTGGTATTATGTATAGTTATGTACTTTACTATTGCTAAAGTTGAAACACTGTAGTCAGTTATTTATATTCTAGTTCAGGGAAACTTCAGAAAATGTATATTTAGGATGCTGCTTGATATTTTAATAATTCATGATTAGTCATATAGAAATGATTTTTTGTTTTGTTTTTACTCTGTAAAATTATATAAGGTTCATTATACTTATTAACATTCATTGGACTCAAGCATAGCAATGATTGTGAGGTTGGCACAGGACTGAGCAGTGTTTCATTCTGTTGTGCATCGAGTCACTATGAGCTGGTACCATCTCCACGGCACCTCTGACAACAACACACTCATTAAATCGATCCTGTATGTGTAAAAAACAAGTGCCATTTGTTCATTTGACTTACTAGATATACAATAAGGCCACCTGCATATTTATCAGTCAACTTTATCATATGCATATTTGTATTATATATAATTGTACTATAATTAATATATTTGAAAGACATCGTTACAGAAATTGCATAGTGGGCTCATGTTTGTGAGATTGTCTGTGTTACAAACGGCTTTTTCATTTAATTAATCATGCACCTCTTTCCGAATCATTACACATGGTAACATTCACTATACTGAGTTTTCCTCAAATGTAGGCTCTTTCTCTTTCAGCATAATGATGCTTTACTTGGTAGAACTACTCCAAATAAAGTAAGCATTTCATTCCTTGCATGCTTTCTAGATTGATGATTTGCTTAAGTTAGAAAGCTGATTTTGTTCAGGGTCAGCAAACCCAAACCCATGGCCATCAAGTTGAATCTAATTCGTAGGTTTTCTTGGCTGCGTGGCACTGTGGATTATTGCGCTGGACTGCAAAGTCTGTTTGAACTGCAAGATTGGCGGTTCTAGCTCACCAGTCTCTCCTTGAAAACCCTATATAAGGTTGCTGTGAGTCAGAACCAGCTTAACGGCACTTAACAACAACAACAATCTTTACAGAGGTAGATCACCAAGTCTTTTTTCCACAACACTGCTGTGAGTTCCAGCTGCCAACATTTTGGATAGGAGTCTAGCACAAACACAAAGTGAACTAATGTTCCGTTTTTCACCTATGTAGGCTTTTAATGTACATTGTTATTTTTCTTGTATTTTGGAGGAAAAAGAGAATATCTAATCCCCCTAGTTAAATTCCATCATTTTTATATATGAAACAGTCAGAAATGTTAAGTGACTTGTCTTGAGACCAAACAAGTCGGGAGCTACAGAAAGCCTAGGTCTCTGTCTGTTCAGACTGTGAGATAACCAGTACTATATATAAAAGTACCATTCAAATAGTTTTTTTATGGGATTGTACCAGTTACGCTCTGAAGTATATCATTTGCTATTTTGAATTGTCTGGATAGTGCTCCCTCCTTTAACCTCAGCCTGACCTTTCTTTGCCTCTCAGAATTAAGCATTTATTTTTATAATTTTTTTTTTTTTTTTTTTTTTTTATGTATTTGCCTTTATGTTATCAGTTCTATGTGGCAAGCTATTTATTAGTCAAGGGGTATATTGACGACAAGTTTCATTTTGGCCAAGGGATCATTATAGCTAATTGTTAATTCTTTTAAAAGCAGTGGCTTTAAATGGGCTGATGATTGTTAAATTCTACAGAGGTAGTTTTTGTATTCTCTTTTGCTCACCCAGCAAAGTACTGAAAAATATGAGGCTGACAAAATGAAAAGCTTAAAACTTGTGAGCATTTTGTCAAATCAGATAAAGAAGCTTTTTTAAAGTGAATTTTCTTTCAGTACATTTAACTTTTTAATGGGAAAATGAGTATTTTTAAACTACATGTGACTCTGAAGAATTCTAGAATTGACTATTAAAGAAATTAGCTACTATATTTCTCTAATGAGAGCATCGATTTTAAGAAAAACAAAACACCAAAACTACCTTTTGTGTTTGTTAACATAGAAGCATGGTTTGTCCTCCAGATGTGTCAAAGATGTACCTTTATTGTTGCTGTTAAGTGCTGTCCAGTCGGTTTTGACTCATAGTGACCCAGTGTAGGGTTCCCAAGGAGCAGCTGGTAGGTTTGAATCACCACCCTTGTGGGTTAGCAGTTCAGTGATTACCCTATAATAGTGTCAAACCAGGTTTGCCCTAATGATTGTGTTAAAGATTTAATTTTTTGAAGACTGTGTTTTACATAACTAGTAGAATTAATTTTTCATTTAAAAACTTCAAAAAGATACTTTCCTCCATAAAAGTATTTGTAAGTTTTATTCTTGTTTTTCCTTAATAAGCCAAAAGACATTTCATTGTTTCTTTGCCTTCTTGTTAAAAACAATTGCATTAAAATGGAAAATCATTCTTTTGATTTATAATTGCATGTGTTCACTTTTGAATAATTTTTTATTCTTTCAATAGAAGTTGTTAAGTGCCATCGAGTCGGTTCCGACTCATAGTGACACTGCATAGGGTTTCTAAGGCATTAAATCTTCCCAAAATCAGAAGGTCTCATCTTTCTCAACGGAATGACTGTTGAGCTCGAACCGTGGACCTTGTAGTATGAAGTCCAGCGCTCCCCTTTTAAGAGATACTGCTTATTTAAACAGTTAGTGAGGCCATTTGACGTCACATTTAGAACTGGAAGAAGGAATTTAAATATCAACTAGGTAGGCTTCTCACTGGAAAGAAAAGGAACTCATCTTTCTCAACACTGACTGCCTTGCCACCCCCAAAGCACCAAATGTTGTGCCCTCTGAGCATAACTAGCTTGTATCATCACTATGATAGTAGATTCAAAATGATGCTTGATATCATTGAATTTATAAAAATGTTTTCCTAATATATTTGCTTTTTCTAATATATCTCACATGAAATTATCTCACAGAGGCAAAAATGACTTCATTTTTGTGCTTTTTTTGTAGTATCCGGCAGAACCACCAGAATGTCTTGTGGATTTTCCTGTTCCATTTTCTGTTTCTTGGACACCGCAGGTAAAATTTTAAATGTATTTTAACTAGATGCGAAGTATATTTCATTTACTTGTAAACAGTCTTATACATTATAAAGTGATTTTATTATTTTATTTTATTTTTTGCCTAAGCATGTATTTATGAATGAACTTTTTTGGAGTGCTTCTTTCATATGTCCATATACTTAATGTCTTTTCTCTGTGCCCACATGGATACTAAACACACAGAGTTCTTTCTGTCTTCACATGCCTATACTCAGCCAGCTTCCAGATCTTTATGTTTCATTGTAAGTAAGCATATAGGAACTTTTTTGACAAAAAGTTTCCTTTATATTTAAATCCTAAAGAACTAATTATAAAGTAGTAAACAGTAAGTCCCAAGTCCAGCATACTTAGGACATATTGAAGAGGGACTAGTCTCTGGAGAAGGACATCATACTGGATAAAGTGGAGGGTCGGTGAAAAAGAGGAAGACTCCCAATGAGATAAATCGACCTACTAGCTAGCAGAAGCAGTGGGTGCAAACATAGCAGTTGTGAGAATGACACAGAACCAGGCAGTGTTTCGTTCTCTTGTGCATATGGTTGCAATGAGTCAGCACTGACTTAATGGCACCTAACATGGTGCTGTGGGTTAATGCACCAGACTGCAAAGCCATTTGAACTGCAAGGTCAGCAGTTCAAGCTAACCAGCTGCTCCTTGGAAACCCTATACAGGGTTGCTATGGGTCAGAATCGACTCGATGGCACTTCACAACAACAACAACAGCAATGAGCAGTAAGTGAACGATTGGGTGAGACTTCACATATTGTCAGAACTCAACACTGATGACATAATATTGGAGACTGTTTTTCAGAAGAGAATGAGTGATAACTGAAAATATAAACTGTGCTATTTTAATTTCGTTTTTATTGTTTTAAGTTCTAATTCCATTCTTGAACTTACACTGTTTTTACATGCTTCGAAACATTTATACTTTCAGCGATGATACAGGAAACTGCTGGCTATTTAATCTCTCTGTTCATTGGTGGTATCTAGCGATATAATGTACACACACTGCTTTATAAACTAACCTTGTGTAGATGGAAGGTGGTGTGATTATCAGCCACCGTCAGTGTTGTGTATGCATATATGATTTTGAAAGACGTGGCAGAAAGGTAGTCAGGATCAAAGAAGTGTAAGGATGATGATCACTGGCTTCTTTTAACAAATCGGTTGTGGGGAGTTGATAGCATAATAGAACATTTCTCCTTTTACACAAAGAGGAAAAAATCACTAGTGCCATTTTTTAGATATTTTCTAAATTTTGTTGTCGTTAGGAGCCATCAAGTTGGTACCAATTCATAGTGACCCTATGCACAACAGCATGAAACACTGCCCAGTCCTGGGCCAACCTCACAATTGTTGCCGCGCTTGAGCCCATTGATGCTGCCATTTTGCCATTCCATCTCGCTGGGGGTCGTCCTGTTTTAAATAGAAGTGACTATATTTTTGATTGATTAATTTCAAAGAGAGCTGCATGCTTACATTTCAAGTGTGTATGAATGAAATAGTTCTTTTACATATGGAATCAGTTTTACAAAATTCCTAACAGAATCTAAACAGTCTAAATATCATAGGTTTTGCTCCCCTAAAGTACAGCAAAATAGAAAGGAAGGAGAAAAGCCTATGATTTACTCTTGATATTTTGATGTTGTTGTTGTTGTTATTAGGTACCATTGAGTCAGTACCGACTCATAGCGATCCTATGCACAACAGAACGAAACACTGCCCTGTCTTGGGCCAACCTCATAATTGTTGCTATGCTTGAGCGAGCCCACTGATGCTGCCACTTTGCCTATCTCTCTCGCTGGGGGTCTTCCACTTTTTCTCTGACCCTCCACCTTACCAAACATGATGTCCTTCTTCAGTGACTGGTCCCTCCTGACAGTATGTTCAAAGTATGGGAGATGAAGTCTGGCCATCCTGGCCTCCAAGGACCACTCTGGCTGCACTTTTACCAACTGGTGTAAATTTTAAATATGTAACCTATCATGTTGATTTTAAAAATAGTAAAATTGGGATTATATAAATTGTATGTCTTTCTTGCTTTTTTTTTTTACAACTTATATTTGGGTCTATAAGCTTTTTCTTTATGCTTTAAATAATGTCATGAGACAATATACCTGGACTTCAGATAAACCGTCTCTAAATTACACTTTACTATTTATCACATTTACAAGTTGATGAATATGTTTTTGATGAGTTTCTTATTCCAGGGAGTTTCAGAAAGTTATGGAAATAATCCATTGTTTTTTCATTCTGTTTTTCCATTTTGAAGCCTCCTCTTATAGATAACTTTACAAAATTTCTCCAGACTTTAATCAGTGAAAAAGTTTGCATCTCTACATATATACTATTTGTTGTTATTCCTAAGTGCCGTCGGGTTAGTTTCAACCCATAGCGACCCTGTAGAAGGTTTCCAAGGAGTGGCTGGCAAGCTTGAACCGCTGACCTTGCATTTCAAACCGATTTTGCAGTCCGGCGCATTAACCTATAGAGCCACATCAGGACTCCAAAGACTCGCGAGTACTTTTATTGTGCCAGACACTAATTTGTGACTCTTCCTCTATTCTATTTTAAATTTATATATTATAAATTGTTTGAGGGCAATGTCTTTTAACTTTGTATCTCCACTACCCATCCGTTTTGTGCCTTATCCATACAAGCACAAAATTAGTGTTTGTTAAATCAAATCAAGTTTTAGATTTAATTGTGTCATACAACAGTTTTTCTGTTTTGTACAAGCTTCAAATATATTTATATTTAATTAGTAGTAACTGGAATGTCATAACATCTCATTTTAATTAGAGAATGTCTCAAAACTATTCTTAGCAAAGAATACGTAAAAATTAAAAGTCCTTTGTAAACCTCAACTCAAATTTAATTGATTTACAACCTATAGCACTGACAGTCTGACTTTTTTATTACACCATTGTTACTGAGAGTTATCCACGATATATGATTGTGTCTAGTACACTTATTTTAAATACTTTATATTATTTCACTATTTGCTTCAGCCACTGAATTTATCTGTTGCTTTACTGATAAGCTTGTTTATAACTTCTTACTATTATTTACAGTGCTTCAGTGAATATCTTTAGACATGTTTTCTTATGCACCATGTTGAGATTTTTACTGTATGTTGTACCTGGAAGTGAAATGTTAGAATATAAGAATGCCACCTCTTCAGAGTTACTAGACTATTTTGCCCAGTTGCCTTTTCTGTGTGGTTGTATGAATTTTTACTCTCCCTCAGGAATGTATTACATTACAGTTTCACAAGTCTTAGTCTGACCTGATTCTTCTGCTTTTAATTCTTAGCAAGAATTAATAATGTGTTATTATTGCATTCATTATAATTCCTAGTTTCAAAAAAGTTATTTTCCTTTGATTGTAAGCATTCTTTACTTATGTTTTAAACTAACCCTGTTTTGGTTGTTGGGTTGTACATACCATCTTCTGTACCATGTCTTTTATCTTTGTGTATTTTGTCACATAGAAAATTAACTTTTAATAGGATCACATTTCTCAGTCTTTTTCATGTAGTTTGTGCTTTTTGTGTCACATATAAGAAACCTTCAATATTTTGATCTGAAAAGATACTTTCCTATCATTTGTTTGAAAAGTTTCTCTTTTTTTCATTTAAGTTTGTGATAAGAGTCTTTGCACATGTGCCTATTTTGTATATGAGTATAGAATCTGGATGTATCTTTTCATGACTGTGGAGGTCAGGGGTTGATTTTATAGTTGTTGTTTTTTTCCTCTTACAACATGCCATTAAAATTTAGAAAGTTTTCCAAAAATATTATTTCCTTTTTCTCTTAGAGTTCAGCATTGAATTGTAAGCATTTGGGTTTTTCTATAAGCAGTATGAACTCTTGAGTCTTTTAGATATAATAAGAGTGTTAGCAATATTGATTTAGGTTTTTAAAGAAGAAAAAGCAGTATCAGACTTCTTTGCTGTATATGCTTCTTTTTCATTGACTATTTAGAGATAATTCTGTTTGTAAGAGTTATTATTATTATTTTTAACAATTTTTAAATAATTGTGGGTCTTAAGCAGCATGAATGTGCTCAAATAGTAAACTTACGTTTAAGAGACTCAATAGGTTTCAGATAATTGATTTAAAAAAAAACAACAACGCTTTTCTGCTTTTGTGCATCTCCTCTTTAGATTCAGTGTTTCTGGACTTTAAACTTGGGAGATCTTTATTTTCCTTTCTCTTTTGTAAAATAATAGAGATGGCTTTGTGGCATCCATATTAAGAATGGGTAATTTTCCTTATGGTCCCTGTCTTCCTGCTGGGTTGATAATGTTTTGATGTATTTTTCTTTTGCTCTGATGAGAGGTCTGCTGCTGCTGCTCTGACATATTCATTTGGATGAATAATTATAACTTGCACAATGTCAAGCTGAAGATGGTAGGGTTTTGTGCGTCATGACAAGCCTGATAGCCAGTGCAGGTGTCTCACAGCATGATCAGCAACAGCCAGTGTATTCTGGCTCCAAGGAGACATTTAGAGTAGTAAGAAATCAGCACCAAGGGCAGTGCTGCTGCACACACCGCCGCCGCCAAAGAAACTCAAAAGTGTGCCTCAAAGACAAGTGTCTCGGCACCTCTTGTCAGAGATTTACTTTGTTTATCCAGTGAATAGTCTCTTATAGATTTTAGCACTGAGGAAATCTCACGATTCTCATCATATCCTACTTCCCAGTATCACAAAGGCTCCAAAATGTGTCTTTGACAGTCTGCTACCTATTAGACTTTTACATACAGGTCATGATGTGAATACTGATGACTAATGAGACCCTAATGGCTAATTTTAAGTGCACTGATATTAGTGTTAATATAAAAATGGAAACCATTTTATCTAGGTCATTGAGCAAATAAAAATAGATGTTAAAACTCAAATTCTACCTGTAAAAATTTCAGGAAGTGCAAGTTTGCCAAAGTATCCTTGCCACGCAGTTAGAATTTTC